CAAAGCAGTGTATACATCTTGCTGAATATTGTCTGGGCAACAGGTGATCTTCTGAGGTATGAGAAGCTAATCACAATGCTAATATAGCTGTAAGAGATGGAGATTAGAGGCCTCTGTTGACTACTTTGCCCTCAAACCCTGCAGGTTGAGAATCTGAATCTTTCCTCAGCGCACTCAAAAGACACGTTAAACTTTTAACCCTGGCTAAGCAGAAGCTTTCCCAGGAAAGCACCTGTCACTGGAATCTTCTGAAGTGGCTGTCTGCTTATCCCGTGCGCCCAAATGGGCCTCACTTTATGCCCCTGAGGGCCAAGGCGGCAAGGCAGCCCTACCCTGCCAAACACTGAAAGTTCTATTCTTGGTCCTGGCCTTTGGCACTGCTCACAGTCACTAGATCACTCACCCAAGGTCTCCCAGCCCAAGCCTTGCTCTGTGACCCTGAGGGCGGAGCCTAAAGGGGCAGTTCTCTCACAGTGGCTGCAGGCACATAGCTCACAGCCAAACAATATTAGCTCTATTCTGGCCCAGGGGCTCAGTACTGTGCCCTGGACGATGCTTAATGTCACCTGCACTCTTGCCTAAGTTCTCTCAAGGTAATTCCACTGAGGGCCCAAGTCCAAACAAACAAAACAACCCACAGGGAAGCCTTTCCCTGTCTGCAATCTTGCGCTGTTGTAGTTACAGCTGCAGCAGTCCGTTCGCAACCACTTGCCATTCTCCACTGCTTTTGTTCTTTTCTTGGGGTCCAGAAGTGTCTTGCTGTCTCCCTGCATCCCCAAAGGGATGTTTCTGGGCAAAGCCCACAAGCCAGAGATGCCTGGAGTCTTCTCTCCCCAATCTCATTGCTCTGGGTTGTAAAGAAACTGTTACTTGGCTGCCATCTTGCTCTGCTCCCTAATTCTTGATTTTCAACCATGAACCAGCTACTAGGGACACAGCAGTGAGTGCTCGTAGCTGAAGAGTTAACACACACAGTGAGGAAGTGCACAGACACAGGGCATGAGCCTGTAGATGGCTGATGACCATTGCTAGCTTTGTTAGTGGGTTCAGCATAAGGACTACCCAGCTGCTTTCCAAACTTTCCAGTCATGGCCTCCAGGTCACTATTGCTGAGGCTTGGTGTCAGGGGATGGACAGTAGTTCTCATTTCCCTCCATCCTATGAGATGAAGGCGAGATGCCATTCTCCCCACCCCCATGACCATACACACTGAAAGGTTATAACAACATGCAGCTTCAGGCTGAGAACTTGGCTTCTGATACTTCCTGCCCTTTGAAGATCTTTCCATAGATTCCTTCAAGTTCCCAGACACACGGAAGCCCTGACAGCTCTCAATTCAGTCTACACAACTGTGGGCCACCAGGACTCTTGAGGTTATGTGCACACACAGGGAAGCACATAACAAGAAAAATTAATCAGTAGTTCTGTGGGTCACAGACCTCTCACAAAGCAATCAAACAAACTTATAAATTCTACCCATGAAAACAATTTTCGCTGAAGTTTATTAAATATTTTAAAGAAGATTTTTTCTGTTAAACTTTTTTCAATTAGCTCCCAATGCTTTATTTATTTATATATACATGAACGTAGTCCAGAAAGGATTTGTGGTATTTTACCAAAGAGCATGATACAACAGTACTAAATAAATAATTGAAGAAATTAAGATAAAGTAAAGAAAACCATAGTATAATATATTAGCCACTGTAGGGAAGGTGAGTTAAATCTGAACTAGGTTATGTTGGAAAAGAAATCGATGTTCTAGCCTTATTGGATAAGCTGTGCCAAACACAATGGGCCTGAGTGACCCTGCTTTCTCCAGAGCCTTCCATCCGAGTCTGATGGCTTTGCTGTTGTATTGTGCTACCCAGTGAAGGTCTCATTATAGGGGGAATAAACTGTACAACCAACAGGCAGATCTAGAAGAATGCAGTCTGAAAATCTCTGATTTCTAAAACGACCCAGTGAACTAATTCAAGTCAACATCGCTAAGGGCTGCCTGCATGCTACACACTGTGCTGAGCTGAATCTCTTTTGGAAGAGAACAAGCTTCATCATGGTGGACTATTTTGGAAAACAGCTCTGTTCATTGCTATCTCATAATCGGCAAAGTTACTGGTCTCCAAACTCTTTGAGGACAGCAACAGTCTTGTGAATGTCTTTCCATGGGCTCCCACAGGGTTTTGTATATTGGTCACTCGATATCAATCACTCAATAGACATTCTATTCTTTTATTTAATAATTAGTCTCTACTATGTGCCATCAATATGCTGTCACTTTGGGCCACATTTCTACCACATTATACAAATGTCCTAGTAAGTGCTGCATTATTGGAGATGCATGACTAGAAACAGTAACCATTTCTAATCATAGAAACAGGAATCTTTGGCTTATTTGATTGTTTGTAGGTCATGTCTGTCAGTGTCCAAGCAGAAGAAGTATTAACATGCAGATCAGGAGACTGAGACTCAGTCTGGCAATCTTTTAACATCACTTAGTTAAAAACAGAACAGGATCAGGATTTGTAAATGGGTTGACTACTAGCTTAGACTAGCTTAGTTCTCTTTCTACTACACTGTACCTTTCCTTTCATATAAGAATAAAAAGACTATGTGTACCATGTGCAACTGTTATTTTAAAAATCCTCAAGACTGTGCATAGACCTTGAAGAATTTGAGTCTAAGTAACAAAGAACAACGCTGGTTCCAGACCCCCAGACCTACCATGTGATTGACGCTGGTGAATGGTGTGTTGTCAGTGATAGTTTCGAAGGGGGATCGGGCCCCGTTGCCATCAGTGGGGGCAGCCACTTCCCAGCTGAACTGCACGGATGTCTGGTTGATGCCAGCCTCGCTGCAGCGCTCCCTCATGACGGCATACCTGGGGAAGTGAGGGTCACA